TATATATATATATATATATATATATATATATATATATATATATATATATATATATATATATATATATATATGTTTCCAATCCCATTTTCCGCTCTTGTTAAGTGTTATTGTCGCACATTCCATACATTTCTCTTCATTCTCACTATTCACCTGGATGACATATATATTTGTAACTATATCTATATAGAGTGATAGACTATCGTATACAAGCCAGGGAACTTTTTTGAAAGAATTAAAATTCCCATGGATCTCCCCGTTCTCCCTCTTACCTACCCATTTGCAATCTTCTTTGTTTTTATCCTTCTTAACATTGTTTAATTCTGCCTCCCCTATGCATCTTTTATTAAAATGCACTAAAATGTATGGCATTTAGAAAGAGTATATTGAGGTAGTCGCAAATTACCAATGAGCAAATGAGATGAAACGATTTCATTTAATTCAGTATTCAATCTTAACTGCTTAATTTCACAAATTCTAGACTTAAATGTCATCCGTCCATGCAAAAGTTGAGACAATTTTTCTGCCAAATCATATTAGTATGGCCAGGGAAACTCAAGAAGGCTTAGAAATGAATTTACTTTATGCCAATGAGTTATGAATGATAACTGATAACTGATATAATGCTGAGAGTTTCGTCCATTATTATTCGGTCATACAAACTTTCCATTTACATTATTACTGCTCGTAATTTCATCGTGACAACTGCTCTTATTGTTCAATTATTTCAGTTCAAGATGGAACTTCCATACCATCGACCTCACAATTTTCTCTTGAATTAAGCACATCTAAAGGGAAATAGCATGATAAAACCTTTTTTCTTTTTCTAAACCAATTAGCACTGTCGAGATCACTGTGCATGTGAATATGGCAGAACTTATCAATATTGCCATATTTTCCTGTCTTAGTTATTATCATTCAACTACGTCACCAATAAATCCAACATATACAAGTTTTTCAAAGGATCTTTGACATTTCGAGACAAGATAATCCAGAGATACGAGTTCTTGGGCAGCTGAAATTCATCTTGAAATTCATTTACCAGCCTATCTTCAGACACTCTCTTGATTTTTTATAGTGTAGCCTTTCGGTCATTTCAACCATAACAGTAGTTTTCCGTCAAGATCATGTAGAAAGGAACCCTTCCTTATTGTCGTACCGAAGTTGCGAGATGCTGAGACCGCAGGTGGTAGATATTCTTGTAAATCTTTTGTTTAGAGAAAGAACCAGCGTGTAACAAATTATACGTACCGCGGCTGAACTGCACAGTGCCGCAGTGTTAAACATCGTCGCAAAGCTTTTCAACACAACTATCAGAGAAAGAGCCGAAGGACCGACCGGAAGTGCCCTCTGTTCATCCAAACATCTGTCCGCAGTACCTCCCACTTCCTTCCTGTCTGACTGATGCTGTTTCTACCTGCAACAACAAATCAACCAGCCGACTGCTCTTCTTTTTCCTGTTTTGCATGTAGTTGTAGTCGCAGGATCGTTTGGGAGGTACTCCGGATACAGCATTCACTTGCAGCATTGCACTTGACTATAACCCGCTTCCGATTCTTCTTCACTATCAGCAACAGCACCAGGCTTAAGCACTATCAGCATCACTGCATCTCTTTTTGCAATTGATATAATCCCCATAGTAGATCAGGTGTTCCGTAACTTCGGAAAACTCAGTACGTAAAGTGCTGCTTCCTTTTTTACCCGTCTTTGTCTTCTTTGAGTTCTACCAACAGGCCGGACCGATCCATTTATATGTGTATTTTTCTGTAGTTTGCATCCGTCCATTGAAACCACCCAGTTTCTAAGGCATGCTTGTCAGTTCATTACATTGTCTATGACCAGACATCTTCATAACACTGTTACGTAATAAGACGTGGTCAGGTGCTGACCACTGAAGTGACGCTAGTCCTATCTAAGACACTTTTTTCCCTTCTTATTCGATTTCCGATTTGCACATGCATTAGTTCCGAAGGATACTGCACCAACGGAGAATGCTCTCCACAATCTTATAAAACTTCATTAGCAATGAAGTCATGTGCCCCTTCATAATGGAAAGTAACATTCAGGTAACGCAGACCCCCATAACCCTGTCAAAGTTCATTCTTTCTACTGTCGATAGCATCTTAATCAAAAAAACTTCAAAATGATGGTATTCTTCTGGACCCGACTGGCGTGAGGACCGTATTTGCACACGTCATCGTCTTGAAATGTAGCATTCTGCAGGAAGTACTAAAAGACTTTGTTTCAAATGATTCAAGGAATATTTCCCAATTTAAATTTATGTTTTCGGAAACGGACCAGCTAACGGACTGAGAGATCTGCCATATTTTTTTTTTTTACCTCAGGCATACTTTTATCACTTTTCTACTTGTTATTCGTTTTTCTTTCAGCGATGCATAATTTTTGGGTTTATTACAAAACAGCTCTCGTTTCGCCATATTGATACCATATCCGGAAGTATGTTAAAGAAACATGGTTAATATTAACATCAGTATTCCAATCCCAAAAATTATGGTACTGATATTTCAGCTTATTTTAAACTTTTATAACAGTAATATTGAAGGAGCCAAGAATTGATAAAAATGTTCAACATAGAGTTAGGTCATTGGAATTACCTTAGCAGATTATTAATTATACTTCGAAGAAAAGCAATTAAAAATGTACCAGGAAAGTGTGTGGCACAGAGGCAGCGAAAATGCAGTAATGCGAGTGATAAATTGTTAAATGCTTCAGAAGGCGATACGCCCGCACCCAACTACGACCACACCGTCCTTGTCTTAGCTGCTACTCTTACATTGCAAAGAGATCTTCGTCTTTGCTATAGTTACAATTGTGGTATGTGTGATACGAGGGGTCATTCGTCAAATACGGATCATTTGTCAAATGCGCTTCCTGAAAACCAAATCGATGTGATTATTTTAGGACATCCATCCTTCCTCCAACACCCGCCGCAATCAATTTAGAAGTGAAGAAGTCAGAAATCAGATCTGTAAACAGCGTTGTTTATTACAATATTGGCATTTGCCAGTTAAGCTTAATATGTGTATTTCACTCTTACATAATCTCAGATATATTCTTTTCTTCCATCGCTTCTCACTCCATTACCTATCTGTTTGTCATAAATTTTATCCTTTTTTTTTTAATATTTTAGTGATAAAGTAGCATCCGAGATGTTTTTACCTCATTCTTTTAGAGTTCATTTTCAACTAAGTAGAATTGTATTAGTCACCGATCGATACATGGTATGAAGCCACACTTCGTATCATCTGCCGAAGGACCGCTACGCAACATACCACCCCTGCGATTACGTCAAGGCACAAAAAGAATATTCATCTAATTGTTCCGGGTAATGTCGGTGATATATCTTTTACCTTATATTATTTCAAGCGGTCATTGACCTAACCTGCCTAAAATATCAAATCCTTCATTTTCATATATTTCTGATGATCGAAGTATATACTTATTTCTTCTTACAAATATCGTCATTAACTGTAGTTTTTTCAGACATATTCGTGTAAAGAACTCTTTAGTCAGTTATTAAAACTTTTCTCCATTAACCCACTCCGAGACCATCTCCATTATCTTTCTCATCAGCAATCGTCAGCTGTCACCACTATCAGCATCATCATAACCTGAATTATTATTGTTATTATTATCGTGAAAAATATTTTCATCTCTCGATGATCACCATTGTCCAGTGTGATCATTGTCATCTTTGTGGTCACTATCATCATTATCAGCTTTTTTCTTCACCAACAGCAAGACCATTCTCTGAACACCTCAACCACTTGTCATTTTTTACATTTTCTGCTTCACTGTCTTCCAAAATTTGCAGAATGTTAGTTTCCCCCAATCGCGTTGGTCCTGTTAATTAAAGGAATGAGAACATTTAATATGCTGAGAAATACTTCAACTTCTCAAACAAATATATAATTATATTGATACCTCTTTTAGAGATTCTCAACATACGGCATGTCTGAGGAATAACGGTAGTATTGATTAATTTTCGGTGAAATAAATATTCACATTTATATTCATATTTATGCATAACTGCATATTAAGTCTGTAGAATATATACAACGGCATGCCTAAGTGGATAAATATTTGGTAGTATCGTGTCAAGGAGTGGAAAGAACCTGCGTTGTGTTTCCCTCATTGCTGATTTTCTCACTTACAAAACTAATTTTGAACTGTTTCGCAAGTTTACCACAGAATCTAGGGTAGATAGTGCAGTTATTTACTGTAATAGGTAGTTTATGTTGTAATATCAACGTTATAATGCATGAATACAGTATTAACTGCTGGTCGATAAATATCGGAATTCGGGCCCACCCATACAAACAGGTTTTCCCAAAAGCAGAGATCACCTCTTTCCTGTTTTATTAAATAAAACAATCTTATTGTATTGGAATGTTGTATTTGTGAGGAACAACCACCATACCATGTGTTGTAGATGGCAATCAAGGAAGGATACCAGGCCTTCTGCGGTAAGAGTAGCGGCGATTTGGAAGAAACTATGAAAGGAATGAAGCAATGAATGAGACAAACAGGGCAAAACGATTGCCAGTAACCTTTTCGGAGCGGTTAAAATTGTAGTCGAATCAATATCTTTTCACCCAAATCAAGGCTCTATGGCAACGAATGGGATGCCATCGTCAGACGACCAAGGTGAACTCATCGAAAACAACCCAAAGCCAGTGGAACCCATCAACCAACTTTAATGACAACATCATCAAAGCAATACCACCTTTACGATGATATCAGCAACCAACGAATTTCCGGTTTCTTCTCACTCCAAAAAATAAGAAAGCATTTTCGATGGAAGTGCTCCCCACATTGAACAGTCAATCACACTAATTGAATTATTGACTGAATATCTGATTTACCTATTAATTAACCAATTTGACGGATTAGTTCGTCAAACTGTTTGACCCATTGTTTGACAATGTCACGAATGACCAACTGTTGAATTCAGTTTTCCTTCGCTATGCTGCTGAAATACGAAAGGAAGTACTGTTGTTCCTCATCTGCCCAGTTAGTTTCAGTTTGAGAATAAGTTTTTATAAATTTACGACAAGGTAGGCCGACGATCTTCTGGAAGTTACATGTAACATTTGAGTTTTTTATGCAGGATATCACAATTTTTAAGATTTCATTCTGTCATGGGATAACTCCTTAGGTCGGACGAAATTCTGTAAAGCAATCAATTAGCTCCGGAAAGCGCGAAGTCTGATTTATCCAATTTTTTTGATAGCCATAATGCAATAAATCCATAAAATTTATAGATCTCACAATTATCGAAAGGATGGGAGAGTCGGACAATGGGAATCAAATTCGTTAAGCTATCCGATTGTTATTTTGAATAACTCATTTATCTGTTAGACAATTTCTTTCATAAATTATTCATAGCGTCGAATTAGGCCTGTTATTGTCAGGCTCCGTCAACTCAATAATCAACTAAATAACACGAAGTATCATTTAGTTTAAGAATCTTTGATTTTTTTTTCAAGCAAATGAATATTTTTGTGTCTTTTGTTAAAAAATAAAAGATTTGACGTATTTATGAACTTTCCAATTTCTTATATTATAGGAATAATATTAATTCGACAATTCTATGTTGTGGCTCTTTTATTATTTGGCAGTACATTCATCCCTAAGGTTGAAGGAAAGCGAAAATGATCTAAAAATAGATAAAACAAATTTATGAATTAATTACATGAAAATTCTTTGCTTTCATTTCTTGATGGATTTAACTTGTCTTTCCAACTTTTTCGAAATTAAACTTTGTTTCATTGAATTTACGCTTAAAATTAAACTTATCATTTCGTATGCAAATTTTTGTCGGACTGTGTAATGCCACATGTGAGCATAAATAAAATCTTGTGCCAATAGCACTCCATTAATGTTCCGGTCGAGAAGTGAAATGAAATCTCTCTTTTAGATCGTAATGAATTCAAAATCGATTTTATATCGTTTTCCTTGACTTCTTTCAACGATTTCACTAAATTTCTTTGTTATCATTTCCGGTTTTCTGTGCATCACTTTTTTGTATGTCTTTTCGTATTATATGAAATTTTGTTATTTCGAAGCTTAGGAACTTGAGAAATCTTTAAGGCTTAAACTTTAAGCCATTGCCATTGAGCAAATACTTTTTGCGGTAGGGTTGTATCATTTTGATCTCTTCAATGTTCTCGTATTGCTTATGTAGAAATTTTCACAGACTTCCTTTGTGTCTTAAATTTACTTATCTATTCGCTTTTAGTTATTTAAATTACATGATATCTGTTTACTTTCCTTAATTGAGACTTATCCAATGCTGCATCACACATTGCATCCAATCATAATTGCAAATGTGAAGTTGGAATCTCGATTAATCTAACTATTATACATTTCTGAAATATAAAAATTTGATGTTTTTGTAATTCGGAAATATATTTGCTTATGTCCATAGCTGGTTTTATTCCGACGTTATTTGCGTGATAACTGTAATCTTTGATTTTATTACCGATTTCATTAGCTATTATGTGAGAATAATATAGCTTAGGATAATGCTCCACAGTTTGCGTTCCATTATGTTTAGTATGCTAAGAAGAGGATTCAGAAACAATTAATGAACAGTTCGTTTGGTGATTTTAAGTAGTTAGTAAATATGGAATTATTAATTACTCCTACCGACATATCTTTCTTTTTACTAACTTATTCATTTGGAACAATGCAACTTGTTGCAGTAAATAATGTTGCGAAACTGTGCTTTAATAAAGAACTCCAAAACTCGAATTCTTGTCTGCTTATGGATTATAATCATCAATAATTGCTTATTTACTTATTAGTTTGCAGATAGTACTTGTTATGTAATGAGCAAATGTGAATTAAATGGGCAAGGACATTCCGTGGCCAGAGCGTCAACATCCGCCCCGTCCTCTACAACTTCGACATTATTATCTTTATCTTCATCTTCGATACCACCAGCTTCATCGTCACTGTTGCTTCCATCATCCTCATCGACATCATCATCAGCATCAGTGATTCGTGGAGCTAAATGTGCTGCGCCATCATCATCATCACCGACATTACAGGTCACTGAAAGTGGTAGTAACTCCACCATTTGCGCTGCGACCAATACAAATACCAGTGGTAGTTCTGCCTACTATCACCATCGTTCTGGACGGATACTTTGTGATGGATATTTGAGGCTTGTTGAAATATTACGTGTCAATATCGTTCAACTCCGAAATTTGCCTATTCGAAATAATCATGGTAATGGAAGTAGTAGCAATCATATCAGTAACAACGACCATGTTCGACCAGTAACAGTGCTAGCACGATTGGACACTTTCAACATTTTTCAGTCAACATCAACTGCTAATGGAAATATGTAAGTTTTGCTAGCTTTTATGAAATCATTGAAAATTAAATTAATTAATCATTAAAGCAGTCTTAATAAGGTTTTAGTAAATTGACTGAAAGGATTTGGATTTATTCATCAAACTGGAATTGAGGATCAGTTTGTTCGGAACAAAATTTCTTTCTACTTGGGTTACAGGTCAATGATACCTGATAAAGACAGAAATCATTGCAGACCTTGAATATAATCGTCCTATGACAAGGAAAAAAATAAGGAACAACTTTACTTGCATTTGTGGGTTTTCTGTGCTTTACTCATACTTTAAACTTGTTTTCATTTTTGGAATAGTGTACAGTGAAGCTTAAGAGGTACTACATGCGACTTCAGATTCCAATAATTTTTGGTTCGAATTCCATTACGTCCGAAGTTAAGGAGCCAAGAACCAATAGAGCCAAGACTGTATCTGCATCACATCATTGCAAATTTCATAATTTTCATCTTTTTATTTTGAGATTCACAAAAATGTGGATTGAATGTGAAAATGTGGTCAACGAATGCTTTTTAACACATGTAGTTTTATTAATCTATATAGAATTTTTGCTTACTTATTCCTTGACGAAATGAAAACATAAAAAAGTCCAACTTTAACTTTGTCTCTGTTGGAAATCGTGTCAACAAAGAGTTTTTTTTTTCTAAAATTGTATCCATACAGAATTTAGTTCACTTTTACTTAAATTCACCGTTTTGACGTAGCAAAAATCATTTGCTATTTTCGATAGAAAGTGATAATCAGTTGTTTGTAATCTCAAACTGATTTTATATATTCCATTTTTCTTTTTTTGATTTGAAATTTCACATCATTCGGCTTTACACGGCTACAATCCAAACGCCAATATTGGTCGCCTGAGAAAGGCCATCATTCTCAGGCCCAAACTGCATTGTTAAGAAGCACGTTCCAGTATTCCTTTTACTCATTTATTTTTAGTTTAAGGATCACATAAGTTTGATTTCTGAAATTCAAATTCAACCATTTGAATTATTCGAATCGTACTCATGCGTGCTCCATATGAAAAACAGAATCATTTTTGAGCGCTTGCTTTTATATATTTCATAATTTTGTTATCTTCGCTTTAAAAAAAAGAAAAAAAATTGTATGCTAAATCAAGATTTAAAAAAAAAGAAAATACGGTTTTTTTGGTGCTTCATTGTGTAATATTAAAAGAAATAGTTATAGACTCCCTGTTCAAATTTACCGAACAGTTCGTGAATCATTTACCTGTTTCAGATGCTGTTTTGGCGATGATTTTGTTCACGAAATTTCGAACACTTTTTCGCAGCTGCATTTTTTAATAACCGAAAATGTGGGCAATCGCTTACCGCGACAAATTGGTTTAGTGAGTATACGAAAACGTGATATTGTCAAACATTCCGGTGAGGATCGCTGGTATCGAATACAAGCCATCAGCAGACAGAATGATGTTTCTGGACAAATTTGCATAGATGTACGTTGCGAACCAACCAGGAAATGTCTCGCTATAAAGTAACCGCTTTCGGTTTTAGTATTTCATGGTTTTTGTTCTTAAACGGTTTTTCAAATCTTCGGTTAAAAACTTTTTAGAGACTTTATTCGTCGTTACACTGTTTACAACTAATCCAGGTAGAGAATTTCTCAACGTACATATAAGTGCCACCTTATGATAAAAAAGTATTCTGGACTTTAATAACGAACTAAGAATGAAGATATAACTTGTCAATTAATTTATAATTCCATTTGACGTTTAGTAGTTCCGGATAGTAAGAAAGATTCACTTCTATACCAACAGTAACCGTAATCAAATATTACCAGTAATAACACGATTAAATCGCCCATAACTCACTGTCGCAATCATTATTATGAGATATAAAACATCGATTTAGAAATAATTAGTTTGCAACTTTCATTGAATCATAGCATCTGTAATTATCATCTTCACTAGTAGTAGTTAAATCATTGTTTCATGATGAAACGCACCACTTGAGCCTGAAGTAGAATCTCAGGACTTCATTTTTGGAAACTCGATGCTTCAGTTGTAATTTAGAAAGTGGGGACGAGCAATACCTAACTTGGTAAGTAATCTAAGGAGAATGAGAACTGAAAAGGTACATGCAGTGAAATAGTTACAATATTTTCAGTACGTGCTATCACCACAATCTATCAGATGTTTTGAACAGGTTCCGAGACCTCTCGGTTGAAATTCTAAAAACTATCATCATCAACATTATTAGAGCATCATCTTTATTGCCATTTTCGTATTTGTCATCATGTCTGGATAACAATAATCCCGAGGGATTAAGAATTTTGATTCAAATTTAACACGCCTGAGCTTTTCCCTTGTTCTGATTCTTGTTCGCTCTATCTCTCTCTCTCTCTCTCTCTCTCTCTCTCTCTCTCTCTCTCCTCTCTCTTCTTCTTACTTAACTTAACTTAACTTAACGTACTACGTA